TACTTTTTCCCTAAAAAAGTAACGAAAGTACAAGTAAAAGTACTAAATTTAAAAAGTAACGAAGTACAAGTAAAAGTACGTACTTTTTACTTGTACCGGCGGTACAAGTAACGAAAGTAAAAGTACTGCCATATATGTATATATATAAATATATTAACCTTATACCTCAAATAAAAGGAAAAAATCATTAATTAGATTTCTGTCTCAGATATTGCATCATCCTTAGTCAGTGTTCTCACAGCACTTGCGCACAATGATGTATTGATTTTTTACGAGTAGTGAGAATACATTTAATACAATTTCATATTATTCAGGAAATGTCATATCATGAAATATTGCGTCAGAAACTCAAAAAAATTAGTAAATAAATAAAGAAGGAAGTGTTGTTTTTTTCGAAGCTCTTATAAGGTAATTTCAAATTATTCAGAAAACGTAATATTACAAAATTTTGCATCAGAAACTTCTGCAATTTTTATAGCTTTTTAAAAGAAAGGCAGAAAAAATGTCTAAGATAAGTTAATCTTAACAAAAAACATAAGACCGAAAACAGAAAGAATTTATCTTAAAGGACTTGCGATGTAGTAATATTGTGTAAAAAAAAGAAAGAAATGTAATGTAAAATGACTTACATATGCAGAGAACAGCAAGGAAACGAACTGATGCATCGGGAGGGTCGCAGTCAGGAAACATGGGTCTTAGAACATAGAAAGAGAATGTTAAGGCCACCACAGCTTGTGAACAGGGTCGGACAATCATGCATTCGACCCATAATCGAATAAAGGCCACAAAAGGACCAAATGATTCCATAATATAGGCATAATCAGCTCCACTCTTGGTTATCATGCATCCTAGTTCAGCGTAACAAAAAGCACCGATCATAGAAAACACTCCAGAAGCGATCCAAACTACGAGAGATAGTCCCACGCTCCCCGTTCCAAGTAGTACACCTTTTGGACTTACAAATATTCCAGATCCAATAATACTTCCCACGATAACTGTCACACCATTTAAAAGGCCCATTTTTGGTTTCAAACATATAGCATCATCATCTTTATTGTCCTCTTTATTGGCCGGCATTAAAGACGGTAGGGTATCGGCTTTGGGTACTACTCTGTAGCTACCCTTTCTTTCCTCGGCCATGATTTCTGAATTGGAGGATCGGTGATTTGAAGAAAAGATGAAGAATCGCGGATCTACCTCCTGCTGGAATTCGTGGATGAGACGAGAGTGAACGAGTCTCGCTCTTTTTCCCTCCGATTTACGCGAAAGACGCCGCGTGGTTACGAGTTTCAGATTGCGCATGCGTTGAATTTACAATAGAGGGGGGGGGGGACGTATTGTAGTAGGGGAAAATGAAGAGATGGAAAACCGTTGTGATTGTCGTTATGTAGAATTAGACAGGTAGAGAAAAATATATATATAAAAAAAAAAGAGTGCAGTGAGTTTATCCGATGCAGGAAGGAAGCTTTGGTTACTTCTTTTTTTCTCCTTTATTTTGTGATGTCTACTGAGTGAATTTCTTTAAAGGGGGATGAACGGGCGATTTTTTTAAACTTACATTTCTCGTAATCTTGAAATAGTTTTCGGATCGTTGAATAAAGAAATAGGTTATAGAGAAACTTCTTTGTAAATGTATTGATACTATTGAATTCTGACAAATATAAGGATTAAGAATAAAAAGATAAATTTAAAAAAGAAGAATAAATTTAAGGATTTGAACGAAATATAAATATTGAATTTTATTCAAGAACTACAATAAATTTATTTTATTCTATAAAGATAGAAGAAAATGACATAGTAAGAATAAATTAGAATAGCAATTATGAAGGTTCAAACAGCATATAAATGTTTCGATACTATAGTTAAACATCATCATTAGCCATAAATAAGATAATTGTAAGTGTATCAATGCTAAATCAGTGTTTTCCATGTTTTAATACATGATGTTTCCTGTGCATAATATTGGAACTATTGTCTTCTCCTAGCTTTTCAGTTTCAGACAAAAAGGAAGAAAATAAAGAAAATTAATTTTCATTTTGTATATTGTTCTGTATTTTCTTTTCATTTAATTATCTGTTTTTCGCTTGATATTTTTTTAAAAACTTAATGTGCTCGATTTTCGTTTTAATTTTTTTAGTGCTCCTCACACTATTGTATTGATATATTTTGCTTCCGCTACATTGATACAATATTAGAAATCACTCCTTTTTCACCGATATAATCGTGTGAACTTTTGAAGATTTTTCATTTTTCTGTTTTCCGGCTTTTTAATGTATATTTTTTTAATTTAATTTCTTTCAAATATTTTCTAAAAATATTTTAAATTATTTTTCTTCTTCTCTTTGCATTAATCCATGTTTTCTCTCTCTCTCTCTCTCTCTCTCTCTCTCTCAAAAGCTCCATTNTATATATATAGTCAAACTCCGCTATAGTAAATATGGTTTATAGTGAACCAAAAAAAAGAAAGGAAGTTGTATATTATGAACTTTTTTCTGTCTTCGACTGATTTATTTTCTTCCTTTTTTTGTAATAGTTTTGAAATTTCTACTTCAAAATAAATACATAGACTGATTTTTAAAAGCATCTTTAGCGTGGAATGTAAAAATAATCATTTTTCTTGTTTGCTTTATTATTGAATAGCATTAATTAATTGGTTGAGCATTGAAAGAAGCCGCAATCTTCCGCTATCTGGAAGTCAAACCGATGAATTTGATGAGACTACTTTTATGCATGGTGAGTTAGACAGGTTTAAAAAGCGGAATAACATAAATTCAGGAAAGAGTCGGGATGTGATGTTGAGGATAGCTCATCAATTAAAGATTACTAATTTTGTTTGTACGCAAGACGATGAGTAATAAACATATATTTTTTTTTTTTTTTGTTACTTCGTATTATTTTTCAGTCATTTTTTTTATTTCATTTTATTGGTCATTTATTTAAATAATGTGTAATAAAAGGCATTAGTTAAAATTGCTTGCGGAACCGCTGCAGTCAAGTCCAGTGAAAAGATTTATTAGAACTTAAAGAAGAGAATGTAAACTATAATATACTTTCGAGCAGATCCTGTTTACTATTAAATTTTTTAAAAGGACTTTTCCCGGAAATTCAATTATTAGAGGGGTTAAATATTTTACAGTTATTATTTTTTATGTTATTCTTGTCCTCTATGGATAACATAACCACTATGGTAGCAGCTTTAAATAATTTAATTTATATATGTAATAAACCCTCTTGATATAATAGATATCACATTTTATGAAAGAAAATTGGCTTTTTTTTTTCCATGGACACTTAAGTCTACAGAAAATATTAAAACCTTAAAATTGCAAGAATTAATTTTCAGAATCAATTAAATTTAAAAATTTTGGATCAAATTACGGAAAAAAGTACCGTTATTCTGGGTGCCGGTACTTTAAACCGTAAAATCCGTTTCCACTGAATCACGTTACAGATCAAAAAATCTGATATACTGTAATTTTTACAGGTATAATTACGGTAAAATCACTGAATCACTCTAATTAAATAAATATTAATGTATAAATTACGGTATAATATTTTGCGATATTTTTTTCCATTACATTATTTTTTAGATGCTACTATTCAGGGTTACTAGGGCCACCAGGGTACCTTAGCACTTTTTATGGGTAAACTTTAAGATATTAGGATTAGGATTATTTAAATTTGATTTTTTTTATTTTCACATCATAAATTCCTTGCTTTAGTGAAGTTTTGAATCACACGTTTAAATATTTTGTAAGCTTTATAAACCATTACTACTATTAAAGAGGATTATTTTTCTGTTCTGTTATTTTTCCGTTGCATGAGATTTTTGAGTGAACCTTAGATATTTTCGAATGGCTGATTTCAAATCTGCAATCAGTTTCTCTGCACAAAAAACAGTTCTTATGCAATTCATAATTTATTTCTAAAGAGAATTTCTTTATAATTCAAACTAGTAAATACTAAGTGTCTCCACTTTTCTGTTACGTAAGACGTGGTAGGATGCAATAGGTCAAGGTAATACCTTTTTTTGTCTTATTTGTTATTTTCAAAAGAGCAGAAAAGTATGTATATAAACCTATACAATCTTTATAGACTTGTACATACGGATGAAAGATAAAATAAAATGAAAATACAAAAATTCTGTAGCTTTCCGAACAATAGATTTGAAATCCAGAAAAAAGCATAGATTTTGAAGCTCAAATTTTCGCTCGTTTGCACATCGTCTTTAAAATTTCGATATAAAAAAAATTAGCTATTTTTCATATTTTTTTAAATAAATTCTCTTGCTATGTTCAGCCGTAGATGAATAATTTAACAATAACTTGTTAGAAGAAATATTTTCGTATTTGTTATTTGTTGCTTTGTAATGCACGCGCTCTGAAACTCTTTCTAACTGGAATATTTTGTCTGCTTGTTAGTTGGATAAGCGATTTCGTATAGCGTATTTACCTTAGAATTCAATCGTCGAATTCTTCAAAGTTTTTTTTTTTTTTTTTTATTACTTTAGCTTTTGCGAGCTTCAGGGGGCCTTTTCCCAGCTATTTGGAAGTTCAAGCATATTTTACGTCTGTTTTTATTTTAAAGTTTTTAATAAATAGTTTATTTTGAGAATTTAGTTTTATTTCATTATTCGATGGCTCATGTTCGTTTAATTCATGTTAATTTTCCCTCACATTCTGGTCCGTCAAGCCATCAAAATTAAATTTTAGTTAGGACTTTGGATAACTTTTCATGAACTTTCAATATGCGAAAATTATTAGAAGAGTTACTTAAACTGAAAAAAAGCAGTGAAATGTAAAGTTATTAGGGTAACTAATTCTATCTCTGACTGGTTGCAAGATACTGAACTGCACTTTCAGATATTTGTTTACGTCAAATAAGTGAACTCAATTTGGAAGTTTCGAATCTTTTCGAAGACATCTTAGTTGTTTGCGACGAAGAAAATTATTCAGATTACGAAACTGAGCTTTTCGACTTACTGAATAAATTAGACAGTTTTGAATTGTCTTTAAAGTAACGAAATAGTAATTTGACCGAAAATCGTAATTTGACGAACGCACAATCTCGAACTTCGGTTGTAGCTGAAACAGGAAAGGCTTACATTGATAGCGGCTGTGCTCAAAAAATAAATAAATAAAAAGTAACAACGATTAAAATCGTCTTTTTTTTTTTTTGGCCCAATTAAAATGCACACTGCTGTTCTAAAAAATATTCAAAGAAATAAATGTTACAGTCAATATTACTCTTAATTGATAAAGAACTGTAATCGGAAGTCTTTCGATTTTATGAATCTTTTCTGCAACGCAATAATCGTTATTTTAACCTTGACTATTTCTGATTTATACTTACTTCCTGACTTTCATATCACTGTAGTCAGGTTCATCTATCCAAGACATTAATACGGAAATACTGCAAAAACAAAACTTCATGACCGAATAATCACAAAAAAGGAAGAGTTACGGAGTGTAAATTATGCAGCATAATGATATACAAAGTGTTAATCTTAATATAGAAATTGATTTAAGAAATATTTTCGTGTTTACTTAATTGAACATTCAGGTTGCGTAAGCATTCTAATATGGATAAATTAATTTATGATCTTTAAAACTCGTTATATATGCACTAAGAAAAAAGAAATATAGTCAAAGCAACCAGAACAAGGTGAAATTTTTCATTTTTCTGGTTATGTGGGGGCACCTAAGAGCTCGGTAATTTTTACCGAAGTGCCTTGGTAATGATTTTGGTTAAATTTACAATAAATGGTTTGATAATATGCTCTAAAGTTTGTAATTTTATCATGATACCTTAGAGCGTGGTTTAATACCATTTATTTTTCAGTTTTGTATTTTTTGCAAAGTGTGAGGTAATAGGAACTATAATTTTGAAAACAAGAATTCCCGGTAAACAGATTCCATATGAACAGAAAAATTACAAAATGAATGGTTTAAATACTGTATATTTTGGTTTTTATTACCAGATTTATGCTTGTTTGTTTTACCAGAAATATCACTACCATTAAGTACGGTAATTTTACCAGAATTTTTCTCCATATGCTGTATGCTTGAAATTTAAGAAATATTTTCAATGGTTGTTTTTAATCTTATTGATATCGCATTAATATTATTCGTGTAATTTAATAATGATATAAGTTTTTGTTGAAAGATAAGGAATTAATAATGATTACATTGCTCCTAAATTGATAATTTTGAATGAAAAATAAGTAAAATTTGTACAGAAAAGCTTTTTACAATTTGAGGG